ATTAGCCTAATTTATTTTCTGAAGTTTCCACCTTTTTCTGTGTTTCCACCCTGAGACTGTCTTTGATTTTGGCAAGTGCTTCTCTTATTGGTTCCATCACAGATCAAGAGCTAAAATTACACGTTTTTGGAAAGTCTTACTTGACACCAGAAATACTACTTTGGCATGGGACTTCAGCTAGTGTTCAGGACTTCATCAGACAGCTAGGAGGAAAAACAGATTATTTAAATTGAATATGGTATTTGTTAGAAAAAGAATACTAATTTTTCTCTCTCCATGAAAGACTGAAAGAGAACCAAATTCCCTGTAGAATAATGTTCTCAAGTGTTGGTTTTGGAAAAAAAAATCAAACTTGCAAAACATTCTATTTTATAGAAATAAAATGTTAAATTTTAAAATTAGCAACTTAATTTTAGCTGCTACATGTAATATAATACAGCAGGAAAACCAAAAGCATCCACTGTTTGCCTAACATCATGCCTACTGTTTATGTGTATTTCATTACGTTCTGTATTTCATTATGTTCTTATTTGGCATTTTAAAATAAAGGGTTTGTGATGATTTTTAGCTTGCTTATAGAATGTGCTGACTGGTAACCTAATAGCGTAATTACTACTGAAATGGGTAATTGGTATGTAACTGATAATTTATATCCTAATTGCTTCATTAATAGGGACTTTGTTCATGGGTAATCATTACTTTTTTTATTTGGCTAAGTGGTACAATAGAACTTGGTGAAGCACCACAAAAGTGCATGGGCGGAGTGTCACTGCTCAGCCCCCACTTGCATACCCAGGTAGTGATGGAGGAGCCGGCAGCAGGCAAGGGCCAGGTCTCCCACCTCCTTCCCGGGAGGAGCAGGAGGCCGCTGAGCCTGGGCATCCCTGTGAAATGCTCCATGTGCCACTGAGGCCACCACTCCATGCCGCTGACCCCTGGGGGGCAGGTACCACCCCCAGCCGGTGCCCTGCACGCGGGTGCTGGGTGCAATGGCTGCATGTGCTGGAGGTGATGGAAGAAGATGAGCGGTGCCAGCGCTGATGCCCAAAGCACAACCTTCTGGGTGCTGCCTTATTGACAGGGGCAAATCTTGCTGGTGGGGCAGCAGGGCGAGAGCAGGAGGCTCCGGTGCAACAGCTGAAGGCTAAAAGAGTGATCAGAAGTGCCTTTTCCCAAATCCCAAATGCTCTTGTGAGACAGAGGCTATGCCCAGAGATTTTGCACCGCGTGGCCATGCTAGCGAATGTCAGAAGTCCAAAACTAGAAAATGAGGAAAGATCTCAGTTCCAAAGTGCTCACTGGCTACCTAGACATGGGCTGGGAGGAAAAAGAAGCAAAACTTAACACAGCAGCTAAGGGTAGCACAGGAAATAAAATACGTATTTTTGTGTCTCAGTCCAGTGCCTTATGTATGCTGCCTAAGTTTTTAAATGACGTTGAGATGCTGGGACCATGAATAACTGTTTTTAAAGCAGGTTAACACATGGGTTCATGTCATGTATATGTATGAATGGGACAGAGGAGAATCCACTTCTCAAATAGTTACTCTGAAAAGGACATGAAAGCAGACCATCCCTCCCGTCTCACTATATATCAGCCACATTATCATTAGTACATTTGTAGCCAGTTAGGCTCAGACAATTCATGGGGGTTGAAGGAGCCAGGGCCAGCTGGAGATGTAGGCATGGTGATGCCAGCTGACAGTCTAAGAGAGCCATGGTGTCTTTCTGGAACAGCACCAAACTACAGTGACACAGACCTTGTCTGCGCCTAAGCCTCACAAGCAGAAAGGCTGGTTTGTACCTCCTTCATCTACCTCGCTAAGTCCCTTCACCGGCATATGAAAGCACAGACAAGCGCTCAGCCTCCAGCAGCAGCCTGTCTCTGTCGCTCAGCGTTTCACCTGATGCTGCAAAACCACAGAAGCCTGGAGTGGTAGAGCAACAGTTTCAGGATCGTTCACTTTAGGGGGTCCAAACGGAGGAACACCAAGCCTAATATTGCTGGGCAGCCCCAGCGGTACCTACATGCGTGGTCCAGTTCAGAAGAGGACTGTGCTCTTGAAGTGCATTTCCTGACAGCTGCAGCTGTGCTTTGGTTTGCCTCATGGAGCAGGCTGAGGGCACACAAACGTGCTGGGCACAATGGCTTTTGGCCCGCGGGCAGCCTTCAGGGTACAGCAGCACAGGGCTGCTGCTTGCCACTGGTGGCAGAGGCAGGTCTGAGAGGGTCGAGGTGGGCAGCATTAGAGTCATTCTTAGCCTGGCACAGCCAGGAGGCCTCAGGGACGAGCCCGGAGATGGAGGACGGGGAATGAGAGGGGAAGCCCTACCTCACCTTTAGTACTTGGGGACACGGCCTTGATGCTAAGACAGTTGTTCTCCTGCCTTGTTTCCTACTGGTGTCCATTCACAATCAGAAGGTAGCTAGAAAGCACGAGTAACAAAAGCAACATGCCCTTTCTATGTCTATCTCAAGGATGACATGCTCCAACTTATGTTTGATCAAATAAATCCTCTCTGGAGAGGAGACAAGGAAACGACACCTTCAATTTAGGTAACAGGGAATACGATTTGCGGTTCCAGTGGATGTCAGGGGTGGGATGCTTGTCACAGGAACCAAGAAGAACTAGGGAATAAGATTTCCTTACAGGTAGTTCTTTTCAACACTTTACATTCAGTTCTTGAACAGTGAGATCCCTAAATCAGTGTTTTGGGGGACCTCAGGCCATAAACAGGCCTCTAAATGTGCACTGTTCAAAATTAATAAGCATCCAATAACTCCAGTAGGACTATTTATGTCAGGTTATGCTTTGGTATACATTTATTAAGGACAAAAACTAACACTAAAAAAGAAAGGTATATGAAATGCTAATAGAGATGAGTCATTATTATTTTATGTTGTATTCTCACATGAATATGTACTGCATATTCAAGGATTTATTTTCATATATATACAGTCTGAATCTGCCATCATTTTGCATCTGGCTAACAGTTACACCATAAAGGCTTCTCTCTGGGGGTATACCCTTCTGATGTCAAATTTCCAGACTTCTGCTCTCCACGTGATGCTGCTTGCATGATGAGCCTCATCACTCATCAGCCTTATCACTCATCTGCCTCAGCAAGGAGAGTGTCCAGACAGCTGAGTTAGACCTCACTAGCCATGTTCCTTTTCAGATACCATTTGACTTCGGTTTCCCACTGTGTTAGGGGGAAGAAAAACTCTTCCAGAGGGGATGACATGGACTGTGGGCTATCTCAGTTTCAAAGGTGGGCAAGGAAACGCATGCCGTCATCAGGGACTGACACGTTTGTGCTGTTCAGCCCCATCTGGCAGGCTGGCGATGCTGCTGGCATTCACTCCCAGCCTTGTAGCTACCGCTAAGTGTGAGCAATTTAACAGCCTTGTGCTGACAAGCTCGTTCCTGCAGTAAAATTCTGCGTGTGCATCTGGAAGGAGGAAGAGGGACAGATAAGCAACCAGATGGGTCAAAATAGTCTTCACTTTCTGTTGCTCCACAACCTTCCCCTTCTCCCCAAGTCGGCTGCAGCCCTCGTTGTGCCACGAGCTCCTGTGCTCCTGTTTGACTCACCATGGCAGCAGGGTGGTCCCTGCCCAGTCTTCTGCTCTGACCTCCATTTCAGCCTGTTTGCTCACATAACACCACGTGAGCAATTTTCTTTTTTCCCTATAATCCCTTCTGTTTCTCTGAAGGTGTTGCTTGCCCTTGTTGGCGGTGACGGTGTTGGTGTCGGGTTCAACGTGGGTTCCTCAGGGGTTCATCAGCAGGGCCAGCCCGAAGCGGAGACAAGGTGCACAAAGTGGGAAGCTAGCGGAATTCTAGAAACCAAACTATACCAAAAAATACCTCACCCTGAAGTGACATTTGAGGCGTCACTTATTCCTTCCCTCCTCCAAAGCCTGGAGCTGGGCAGGCTGAGCACAGTGGACTTTGCACGGGCTGCTGTGCTATGATTCGAGGGCTGGAGCACCTCTGCTATGAAGACAGGCTGAGAGAGTTGGGGCTGTTCAGCCTGGAGAAGAGAAGGCTCCGGGGTGATCTTATAGCAGCTTTCCAGTACCTAAAGGGGGCCTACAGGAAAGCTGGAGAGGCGCTTTTTACAAGGGCATGTAGTGATAAGACAAGGGGCAATAGATTTAAACTGAAGGAGGGCAGATTTAGATTAGATATAAGGAAGAAATTTTTTACATTGAGGGTGGTGAGGCACTGGAACAGGTTGCCCAGAGAAGTTGTGGATGCCCCATCCCTGGAAGTGTTCAAGGCCAGGTTGGATGAGGCTTTGGTCAACCTGGTGTAGTGGAGGGTTTCCCTGCCCATGGCAGGGGGGTTGGAACTAGATGATCTTTAAGGTCCTTTCCAACCCTAACCATTCTATGATTCTATGATTCTATTGGGCACCGGGCACCAGGCATCACCTCGCAATGCTGCCACAATTGAGCCCACCTATCAGAGAGACTCATGTGGGGGTCCAGAGGTCCTCCTTCCCCCCCTAACAAGACACCTGGGGTTGGGCCGCCTCCTCCACCTGGGAGGATTTCAATGCCGCATCTTCCATGAGGCCACATGCTTGCCAGGGAGGGAGAGGATGGTTTCTACCACTGGTCTCAAAGCTCAGGTGTTGGCTCACTCTCCATGCTGACGCTGGGCAGCTCTTTCCTCCACATCCCCATGCCTTTGGACCCCTTTCAGCAGTGCCTGGCTGGCCCACACACGTACACAGGGCCCAAGCATCCACTCAGTGCTGTGAGAGAAGGAACCATGATGTTCAAGATGAGCAACGTCCTGACCAGAAGCTGCTAGCTGCACAGTTGCAGCCTACCCAGCCTGATGGGACCGTTGCTTTCCAAGATGCCTTTTGATGTGCCACCTGGAAGCCCCTGGTGGTGTTGCCGCTGGTTGGTGGTTGGGGTAACACCATGGCAACGGGCATATTGTGAGCTCTGTGAGCATCCTGCACGGGCCTTGAGATACCAGCATGCAGCACTTCGCAAATCTGCTCCTCAAGCACATAATTCAAAGGGGCTTCTTTGATGACACTTCGAAGAGGCAGTGCCTGCAGTATTTAAGAGCTCTGAGGACACTGCAGCTTAATGGTTTCAACACCGTTTTTTTAGGGGAAACAGATACTCCAGAAAGTCTTATAACAGAAGAAAAAGCAGCCAAGGAGGCCAGCCTGCGTTGGCCAGTATGGACACTTGTTCATGCTGGCAGCCACCAAGGATGGGTGCCCTGGAGGTACACGCTGCAGCTAAGAGGTGATCTGCCCATCCATCAGCAGAATGGTGTCTTTCAGGAGTTGTGTGATTCTCTAACCGCCTCCTATGGGAAGTGCGTAATTGTGATGAGGGATAAAACGCAGCCGACACATGTGGGGGCAAAAGATGGCAAGGAGCCAGAGACAAGAACTCGGCTGCCAGTTCCACCAGAGATCTACATGACCAGTATCGAGTGTTGCCCTGAAGTTGCTAGAGCAAACGGCCATGAGCTTCTTTTTGTGCCTTCATCTTACAACTATCTCTATCCTATGGATGTTGCCTGGTCTTTTTTGAAATGGTTTATTATAAATAACAGGAAGGACTTTGCCCTGAGGTCTATTGAGAGGACTCACTCCTATAGGTGTATCCTCTTCAGTGACTTGATTGTTAAAGGAATAGAGAAGATGACCCCAAACAAATGGAAGATAGTGATTGACAGAGTGAAGAGATGGGAGAACTACTACCTTGACACACTTTCTTAAATGGTTCTTCCTGCAGCCAAACTTCAAATGTGTTTTGATTGGTGTTGAAAGAGTTACCCTGCTCCAGCTCTGCTGAGCCCTTTCCTTCAAAGGGTGTAAACCTAAAAACCCCCATGTCAATAGCATTAATAAAAGAGATAATTTTAAATCTAAATGTTTTATTTTAGATGTGTTCCAGGACTAGGTTGGTATGTGCTATGTTTGCTTTGGGAAGGGACAGTTAATTTGCCTTTTCACAAAAATGGGCCAAAGCATGCCTAAGATCCAGTTTAGCTGGCCTTCTGCACAAATTCCTGTTACGGGAGTTATGAGACTGTGCCTTGGATGTAAATGCCCTTAATAACGAGAAAGACTGGGCTGAAAAATGAATTCTGTAGGTCAGGCCTGTCTTTGACCCCAGTGGGACATCTGCTCCTGAGCAGGGAATATGCAGGACTGTGACCGACGCCAGAGTCCACGGCTTAAAGAAGTTGGAAGAATTTAATGTGACTTTCTCATCATATACACATTAATATCTGATGTCAGCTCAGTCGTTCATTACACCGAGTACCTTGCTTCCATCAGCGCTCTGCAATAAACATTTCAGTGATAGGTAAAAGAAATCTTTCTAAAAGCGAAGTTCCTTTCTAAAGCCTAACAATTAGTAGCTGGTTCAGGCTTCAGAGCCTGAAGAGTTCAGTCTCGCAGGATAAAATATGGCACTCATCATTGGAGATTTTCTTTACCCATGACACCGATTACTGAGATGTAATGGTTTCTTATGGAATTGAGTTCAAAAGATTATTTACGAGTGCTGCAAAGTAGTAGTTCTTAACAGCAGGTTTTTTCAAGTTCGTTGAAAACTTTCTTGGTTTTTGGTAAGTGGCTCCCAACTTAAATTCTCTGTGTTGCTCGTTACTGAGTATGTGTTTATGGTGTACTTCTAAGAGAACTAAGACCATAAAAACATAAAAGAAGTAAGTTATGAGATGATTCACAGGTTCACTAAAACATTTCAATGCACTGAGGCAAATCTGTGCAGTTTTTCTCCTGTGTGTGGAAACCATCTAAATGAGCATTGTAATTTGGTGTGGCAGAGAGACATCTAAAAAAGGGAGTCTCATCTACCTTCAGAAGAATCCACGCATGCAATTCTCTAGAGCTGAGATGTGAATATACAGAGAAAAATAACCATCTTTTCTCAACTTCATATTCATCAGCAAAAACATCTGCTCATTTTTTACAAGTATGGATGTAGCAGAGAATGGAAAATTAGGTGCTTCAAATGCAAAGAGGAAAGAGG